GGTGGGGAGCCAGGGCTGCGGGGAGCGCAGTCACCGCTCGGTCACCGCGATGGCCTCGCACACCCTTCTCTCCTCACCCAGCTTGAAAGCCTCGCTTCCACTCAGTCATCACTTACACAGTCATTATTTCGAAATTTTAAAAAGATTATTTCATTTAACTTTAGTTATTTACGCATTTTAATTTGACGAGAGAGAGAGAGAGAGAGAGAGAGAGAGAGAGAGAGCGAGCGAGCCAGCCAGCCGCCAGGTCCAGTACTCCAACCACAGTCAGCCATGTGGGAGTCCAGCGCCCTCAACCACCACGTCACCTACCGACCCCTGTATTTTGAAATTTTTATGAGTATCTGCCATACCACGTGCTAGCAGGAGGTTTCCTCGAAGGACTAGCCCCCTGGGCTTCTCCCCTTCCCAGGAAAATTGAGTAACTCACCTACACGGTCCTACCCACTGCTTAATACAAAGGAAAACAAGATATTGAAAAGTTTGGGGTAGGGTGCCAGCCAAGCGGTCTTACAACAGAAAAACCATGAAAAAAAAAACCAAAAAACAGTAAGTGGACAGAGCTGGAGGCCATGTCCAAGGACTTATAAAAGTGTACTGTGATGATAAAGGGTAGGCTTCCTGTCCCCGTGGTGTGAACCCCAAATAAGCAAAATCCTTCAAGACCGCCTAAGTGGCTATCTGGGGCCTAACTTCAAAACAGAGTCTGGCAGCTGTCTGCTGATTGGAATCTCTCACAGACTCTCTGTCACCAGGAAAAAATAAATTTTAAAAGTGTATTTGTTTGTTCTATGAGAGACAAAGGGAACAGGCACCCAAGTGGAGTCCTCACAGCATTTTCCACACCCAATGAGTGTGCTTACCTGATGTGTACAGACAGACCTCTGGATGTGAACCTGGGACCTTCCTATACGGCTTCAGCATTGCAGAGCATTACATTACCTGGCTACCACAGCAGGCCTGCAAATTGAACTTTTACTTTTTGTTGTTGTTGAGATTTTTGCTATAGGGTACATGTACTTGCTGGAGATGAGAGAGAGAGAGAGAGAGAGAGAGAACGTGAGACAGCAATCCTTTCTTCATTCTCTTCTTAGGATATTGGGCACACGTGAACAGGCATCCAGAGTGAGTTTCAAGCTCCTAGGTCAGGGACTCATGGGAGTCCAGTGCCTTAACCACTATGCCATCTGCTGGCTCTCTTAATCTCTTTTCTTTTAAGCTTATTTTATTCATGATAGAGAATGTCTGTGCAGGAGGGGAACACCCTCAGTAGGGTCTTGTCATGCTGCTATTCCCTTTCCACAGCCCTTCAACTCGTCAGGATCCAAGGCATGTGCACACATTCCAAGTGTTTTCAGGCCAACCAAGACATGGATCTTTTGAAATTTTTGCACTGTCAAGTTACCTAACCAATAGACAGCAACCCACATCCACCAATCAGGACTGAACAAGCTTGCGTCCTTTATTTGCATAGAAGACCTAAGTGTAAACATGGATGGAACCCTTTCCTATAAAAAATTATCATTCTTTGTTCTCTCAAGGTGTACTATTGGTTTGACATGGAGGCTATAGTTTTTCAGTTTGCAAACTGGAATAAAGTCTCTCTTTGTCTCTAAATTCCTTTAGGAGAATTTTGGTAACAGAAGGAATTGGCATTAGAGTGGGACTGAGGCAAAGACCCAGGCTGGACCCCAAGACCTGCCAATATCATTCTCCCTGTCCTCTAAAGTAGGAGTAGGTCTATCCTGTTACCGAGGCCTGTAAACCCCTTCACTGGTGGTGACCGCCTGGGCTGTGCCCTCGGAGCTTCAACCTAAATCTATTATAGTAGGTATAGAGAGGTAGATGCTATATTTAGAACAGCACACATTTTCCACTGGGCCCAGTGGCAATAAAAATATAGTACAAGTCAAATATAGGTTGTGAACGTGATCACACGCTGCAAGGGCTGCTTCTGTCTCTGATGCGGAACATCCCCCAACAAGGCTCCCCAGGAAGATCTTTGTCCTTAGTCACACTTGCAGGCTGTCCTTGGCCCTGGTGACTAGCAGAGTTTGTGGAAGCTAAAATAATTACTTTCTTAGAGGGTGTTTATTCATCCTACCTCTGTTCAAAAGATCAGTAAAGAATGATTAAGTTCAGTATAACCCCTTTTCCAAATTCCATGGGGATAAAATCTTTTGGGTTGTCGGAAAAGTCATGACATATTTTCTATGCAAAAATGTGTCATGACTTTTCCGACAACCCGATGATTGGCTGGGCAGTCAGCTCTCCACCCTGGTTCACTGAGCAACAACTAAGGAGCAGTGTGCTTGATTTTCGTTTAAAGCTTGATTTTCCTATAAAGCTTCTGATCTGGATTTGCCATCCATAAGATTGTCTAGCTCACCCACGTATAATTAAAAATAAAAACATCTCATCTTTTTTAGCTGTATCCAACCAGTTAACAATAGATATTAGTTGAATGGATGAGTAAAAAAGGACCTACTATATTTTTTTCCTAAAGTGTTCACTTATTCTTTGTTACTGGGGCCCCTGCCATCAGAAAGCTTAGATTCTGGTGGTGTTAAGAGAGCAGATAGTAATTAAATACATACATTTGTAGGGTATCAGATGCTACTAATTGTCATAAAAAATATATAAGGCAGGGCAGGTATACAGGAGAGGGAGGAAGAAGGTTAGAGTGTAGTACTGCTCTGAGCACTGCAAGCACAGGATATGTGTACTGAGGTAGAACTGTGCCTAGCATGTTGGAGGAACAGGCAGGAAGCCAATGTGGCTGGAGCAGAATGAGAACTAGAAAATATGAGCAGAGAAATGGGTGGATAGTGGATTGGTCAGATCACACATGGCCTTGGCCCTTTTTATAAATGAACTTTGGTTTTCACTCTATCAGA